GGACACTGGGCTGGGGACACTGAGGGGGCCCCGGCCTCGCTGGGGACACCGAAGGGGACCCGGGCCATGCTGGGGACACTGAGGGGACCCCGGCCTCGCTGGGGACAGCGCGGTCCCCGGCCCCAGCAGGTGGCAGCTCTGAAAAGTGACCGTTTATTGGAAGCAAATCCGGGGGGTTGGGGACAACACGGGGCGGGGGACAGAGGGGACACGGGGACACCCCGGGGGGGCCCCGGCTAAAAACACCGACTTTAAAAAACACCAGAATCGGGGCCACCCCCCAAAGCCGCCCTGGGGGGTGGGGACAGGCTGGGGGCGGCCGCGAGGGGCGGGGGGCACGGCGGGGCCGGGAGGGTCCCGGGCTCTGTACAGGGGAGGGGGCTCAGCTGCGGGGGGGGTCCCGCTCCTTGGGCTCGCTGTCCTCGGGGTACGCGTGCCACGTCAGCCGCTCCTCGTAGAACGCGATGACAATCTGGGGACACTTGAGGTTGGCCTCCTTGGCCAGCACCAGGTCAGCCTCGTCAGTGTCCTTCCTGGGGACACAGGGACAGGCTGGGGCACGGGGACACGGGGACACAGGGACAGGCTGGGACACGGGGACACGGGGATGGGGACATGGGGACACGGGGATGGGGACACGGGGACAGGCTGGGGCACGGGGACACAGGGACAGGCTGGGGCACGGGGATGGGGACACGGGGACACAGGGACAGGCTGGGGCATGGGGACACGGGGATGGGGACATGGGGACAGGCTGGGACACGGGGACAGGCTGGGGACAAGGGGACAGGCTGGGGACACAGGGATAAACTGGGGGACACGGACACAAAGTGGGGACAAGGACAAACTGGGGGGACAGCAAGGCACAAACACAAACTGGGGGCTCACGGGGGACACAGTCACAAACTGGGGGTGTCCAGGCGGCTCAGGGGACACCGGGGACAGCGAGGTGGCTCAGGGGACGCTGGGGACAGCGAGGTGGCCTCACCACTTCATGAGGAACATGAGGTCCCCGCAGGAGTCGGTGGCCCCGATGATCTTCTCGGGCTCCAGCCCCCGCTCGAAGCCGCGGGCGATGTCATTGCTCTGGGGGGAATGGGATTTTGGGGGAGGAGAGGTCAGGAAGGGTCCCAGCGTGGTGGCACTGCGGGAGTGGCCACTGTCCCTTCCCCGGTGGCCCGTCCTGGAGTCCCCGTGGAGAGGGTGCTGGGTGCCACTGTCCCCAGTCCCTGTCCCCATCCCATCCCCATGTCCCCTCCCTGTGTCCCCATCCCCATGTCCCTGTCCCCTCCCTGTGTCCCTATCCCCATCCCATGTTCCCACCCCCTCCCCATGTCCCCAGCTGTCCCCTCCTGATGTCCCCATCCTCACCCAGTGTCCCTGTCCCCAGTGTCCCCTGTCCCCTCCCGGTGTCCCTGTCCCCGGTGTCCCCCCTCACCCTCCCGCTGTCCCTGTCCCCTCCCTGTGTCCCTGTCCCCTCCTGCTGTCCCTGTCCCTGTGTCCCTGTCCCCTCCCGCTGTCCCTGTCCCCTCCCTGTGTCCCTGTCCCCTCCCTGTGTCCCTGTCCCCTCCCGGTGTCCCCTCTCACCTCTCTCTTCTTCTTGGCTCTGCCGTCCTCCCCGGGCAGTCCCTTGCGCTTGGCGCCCTCGGGGCGCTCCCGGGGCCGTGTCCCCTCGCTGTCCCTCATGTCCCTCATGTCCCTCATCCTGCGGTCCTTGCGCAGGAACTGCGAGATCAGCTCGGGGCAGTCCAGGTTCTTCTCGGGCTCCCACGTGTTGTGCTCCCTGGGGACACCCGGGGACAGGGGACACCGGGGACAGGGTCAGGGACACCCGGGACACCCGGGGATAGGGTCAGGGGACATCCGGGGACAGGGTCAGGGACAGCCAGGACAGGGTCAGGGGACACCTAGGGACACCCGAGGACAGGGTCAGGGACACCCGGGGACACCCAGGACAGGGTCAGGGACACCCAGGACAGGGTCAGGGACGCCCGGGACACTTGGGGACAGGGTCAGGGGACACCTGGGGACACCGGGGATAGGGTCAGGGACACCCAGGGACACCCAGGGACAGGGCCAGGGACACCCAGGGACACCTGGGGACAGGGTCAGGGGACACCCGGGGACACCGGGGATAGGGTCAGGGACACCCGGGGACACCGGGGATAGGGTCAGGGGACACCCGGGGACAGGGTCAGGGACACCCGGGACACCCAGGACAGGGTCAGGGACGCCCAGGACAGGGTCAGGGACGCCCAGGGCGCTGTCCCCTCCCGGGCGCTGTCCCCGTGTCCCCGCGGTGGGTCACTCACTCGGAGAAGCCCTTCCACTTGAGCAGGTACTCGGCCTGGCCCCTCACCACGCGCCGATCCAGAACCTTCTCCACCACATACTCCTCCTCCTCCCCCGAGGCAGGGTCAGGGGACACCTAGGGACACCCGAGGACAGGGTCAGGGACACCCGGGGACACCGGGGATAGGGTCAGGGACACCCGGGGACACCGGGGATAGGGTCAGGGACACCCGGGGACACCGGGGATAGGGTCAGGGACACCCAGGGACACCCAGGGACAGGGCCAGGGACACCCAGGGACACCTGGGGACACCGGGGATAGGGTCAGGGACATCCCGGGGACACCCAGGACAGGGTCAGGGACACCCAGGACAGGGTCAGGGACGCCCAGGGCGCTGTCCCCTCCCGGGCGCTGTCCCCGTGTCCCCGCGGTGGGTCACTCACTCGGAGAAGCCCTTCCACTTGAGCAGGTACTCGGCCTGGCCCCTCACCACGCGCCGATCCAGAACCTTCTCCACCACATACTCCTCCTCCTCCCCCGAGGACGAGCTGTCGGCTGCCCGCCGGCTCCTCCTGCCCATAGCGCAGCCACCGCTCTGGGGACAGGGACAGGAATGTCACCGTGGGACAGCAGTGTCACCCAGGGGATCCTCCTGCCCACAGCACAGCCACCGCTCTGGGGACAGGGACAGGAACAGCAATGTCACCGTGGGAATGTCACCGTGGGACAGGGAATGTCACTGCTCCTCCTGCCCACAGCGCAGCCACCGCCCTGGGGACAGGGACAGGGACAGCAGTGTCACCGTGGGAATGTCACTGTGGGACAGGGCACTGCTCCTCCTGCCCACAGCGCAGCCACCGCTCTGGGGACAGGGACAGGGACAGGAATGTCACCATGGGAATGTCACCGTGGGACAGGACACTGTCCACCGGCTCCTCCTGCCCACAGCACAGCCACCGCTCTGGGGACAGGGACAGGGACAGGAATGCCACCATGGGAATGTCACCGTGGGACAGGGCACTGCTCCTCCTGCCCACAGCACAGGCACCGCCCTGGGGACAGGGACAGGGACAGCAGTGTCACCGTGGGACAGGGAATGTCACCCAGGGGATCCTCCTGCCCACAGCGCAGCCACTGCCCTGGGGACAGGGACAGGAATGTCACCATGGGAATGTCACCGTGGCACAGGGAATGTCACTGCTCCTCCTGCCCACAGCGCAGCCACCGCTCTGGGGACACGGCGTTGTCACCCGGGGGGGACAGGGGACAGCTCGGGGGGGGTTTGGGGTCATCCCAGGACCCCCAAAGGGAGATTTGAGGCTCCTGGAGCCCCTGAAAGGGGACACTGGGGTCATTTTGGGATCCCCAAAAGGGATCTGGGGACACCTGGGATCCCCAAGAGGGATTTGGGGTTATTTTGGGATCCCCAAAAGGGATCCAGGTTCATTTTGGGATCCCCAAAAAAGATCTGGGGTAATTTTGGGATCCCCAAAAGGGATCTGGGGTAATTTTGGGATCCCCAAAAAAGATCTGGGGTAATTTTGGGATCCCCAAGAGGGATCTGGGGTCATTTTGGGATCCCCAGGAGGGATTTGGGGTCATTTTGGGATCCCCAAGAGGGATCTGGGGTAATTTTGGGACCCCCAAAAGGGATTTGGGGTCATTTTGGGATCCCCAAGAGGACTTTGGGGTCATTTTGGGATCCTCAAAGCAGATCCCAAGGGGGAACACAGCAGGGGCCAATTCCTAAAAACCAGCGAGGATTTAGGCACAAAGAAACACGACTTGGGGAAAAAAAAACCCCAAAAAAACCCCCAAAAAACCAGACAATTCAGGCAGAGCAAAATAGAATTTAAAATAAATCCCCTAAAATCGAAGGGGGGGAGATTTGGGAGCAGGGAAATGGAATTTGGGCTAAACCCCTTAGAAACGAGGGCCATTTAAAAAAAAAGACGCTTTAAGAAAACCCCAATTTGGGATATTTTTCCCCCTCAAGCCAGGATTTCTTTCTTCCCAAGGCAGCCCCGTGAGGGACCGGGGAATTCCTCGCTCCCGGCTGGAATTTCCTGCCGGATTCCCGGGAGTTTTGGGCGGGAACCGCGAGGCTCGGGGCGGATTCCTGAGGGGAAGCGGGGCCGGTTTGGGTGGGAAAAGGCGATTTTGGAAGGGAAAAGCCGCGGCGGAGCCGCCGATCCCGGCAATCCTGAGGGAACAAAGGGCCGGCGCCGCGCCGAGGCCGAAGGCGCCTTTCCAGCGCTGAACCCCGCAGCTCTGAGGGAAAAGCCGCCGCTTTGAGGCGGGAAAGCGCCGGTTTGAGGCGGAGCGCGGCGGTCTGAGGGCAAACCCCGCGGTTTTGGGGGAAAAAGCCGCAGATTTGGGTTCAAAGCGCCGCTGTGGGGCCCGGTACGCGGGGCTGGGGGCGGGGTTAGAAGCGCGCCGCGACACGCCATTGGTCAGAGCCGCCGCACGCTAGAGAGATGATTGGCTGAGAGCCCCGCCGCTCGCCACACCCCGCCGCGCTACTATTGGAAGGTGGAACCGTCACTCCAAGCGCCGCCCCGCCCTCACTTCGCCGCTATTGGTCAGTGCACCTGTCAATCCATGCTCAGGCCCGCCTCCCGTTCGATGCTATTAAATAACGCGCCCATCACTCCGCGCGTGGCCCCGCCTCCTGCCCGCATCCATTGGCCAGCGCGCCTGTCCGTCACAGCGGCGGACCCGCCCCCGCGCTGCCGCCCATTCATCCGCCGCCCGCCGCCGCCGCTACCTGCGCGGGGAGCGGCTCCGGCGCGGGCCCGTCCGCCGCGGTTTGGCCGCCGCTCCGCGCTGCCGCCGCTCCGCGCTCCGCCCGCCAAAACCGCCCGCAGCGCGCAAGCGCCGCCGGCCGCGCTCCGCGCATGCGTCCGCCCGCCTTTTTCCCCCCCCTCCACCCAGAAAACCCGCCGCGATTGGCGCATGCGCTGCTCCGGGCGCACCTTGGGGCCGGCGGGCGGGCGGCCCCTGCTCGCCGCCGCCGGGAGTCGCCGCCGCCGCCCCGCTCTGCGCCCGCCGCGCCGCGCTCGCCGAGATGCGCTGGGCCCGCCGGCCGCCCGCGCTGAGCGACGGCCGCGCCCGCCAATAGGGACCGTCCCCCCGCGCGGCCAGCCAATGAGCGCCTCCTTGGGGGCGGGCCCTCCGCCGCTCCAACCAATCAGCCGCTCGCCGAGGAGTCTCCGGGCCGGAGCGGGAAAAGCCGCGCGGGGCGTGGCGACAGCAATTCCCTCCAATCACCGCGGCGCGGGGGCGGGACGTTTCGCGGATCAGCCAATCAGCTGCGCCTCCCAGGGCGGAGCGCGGCGAGCCATCCAATGGGGCGGCGGCGCCGGGAGGCGTCAGCCAATGGGAGGCGGCGCGGGGGCCGTGAGGGCGGCGGGGGCGGCGGGGTGAGGCGGCGGCGCTCGCGTCGCTCGGCCCCTTTCCGTGTCGGCCCTCGCAGAGGGAGCATCGCGCGCTGCCGCCACCGCCCGGCCCGCCCCGCCCCGCGCCGCCGCCATGGCCAAGGCCGAGGTCAGCGCTCGCCCCGCGTTCCCGCTCGCCGATCCGCGCGCGTTGTTTTTTTTTTATTTTTTTCAATCCCGTACGCGCCCCCCCACAGGCT